GGGGGGGGCGCCCGGTATTTTTGATAATAGCAGTCATCAGCGGCTTGTGAGCCGCTGATGACAGCTATTAATTTAAAGGGGACAGTCTGCTGAACAGTTATACTATAAGCTTATAGTAGAACTGCTTCTACTATAAGCTTATAGTAGAACTGTAAATGCCAGGTCCGTATGGCATACTGACCTGGCCAGCTGGAAGCACTTTTGTAGGTCCGTATGCCATACGTTCTTGGCAGAGAAAGGGTTAAAGTGCACATTTGCCACATGTTCATGAAACGTTCAGGTGTGAACAGGGGCTAAGATCGTTAAGGTGGCTCTTTGAGCTGGAGGAAGTCCCCAGTTTTCTGTTTTCTTGTGCCTGTTGTTTGTTTGCTGTGTTACCCACCCCTCTGTTGAACTGCTTTCGGATATCCCAAAGGTGAAAGACTTCCTGTCTCCCTCAATGGACTCCAAAGAAAAGGAATTCACTGTAAGTACAAAAATCCTATTGTCTTGATGAAGTTGTCCAGAGAGGTAGGGGGCTAAATTAATCTATAGGTATAGTAAAATACCCCTCTAAACCTTAAATTAATTTAAATGGTCTTTTAGTAAAAACCTGTTGATAGTAGTGTCATATTTCTGCATGCTGCCACTGTTAGTTGGCCTGTTCTAGCTATAAAGGTATAATCCAGGATTAGCAATGGCACAAATTTAGCATGGGCAGTAATTATCATACTGCTATCAAACTCATTTTAGGGAACATATGATAGATCTGCTTTCCTGTCAACAATTCCATGTCTGCTAAAGGGCGGGTTAGCAAAATAAAATATAAACCCCATGCTTAGATTGCTGCTACTTTAAGTTCAAGCCACTGTATTTTCAGTCATCCTTCACATTTTAACTTTTACATTTAATAAAGTTGCCTGTTGGTTTTTTTGTTTTCTCTTTTTTCCTGAACCCAAGTAGTAAATTGAACTTGTATTTCAAAAGAATCATTCAATTAAGTAGACAAGAAAAATAAATGACATAATGCATGATTGGTCAAAGAAGAAATGCCCATACAATCTTCTGACTTAGATTTAACAATGCACTGCTGGTACCTGCTAGTTGCTTTGCATAAGCATGGGGTGTCTTTGTGTGACCTTTTTAAGAAGATATGTCTACTCTTCTGGGAATATGTATGCATCAAGTGTGGGTCCATCCAAGCATTTAAGATAACTAAAACCAGTGATGTGCACAGACTTAGCAATAATACCCTAAAGTAAATCAAAATTCCTAAGTTTCTCACTTTTTTTTTGGGCGCTTCCTAACGCAGCTGATTTTCCTTCAACCTCTTTCATCGACGTGCCCTCTCTCTGGCATATGCTGTACATTATTGCTCTGGACTGCTTTCCTGATGGTGTTAATGATACACCATGCCTTCACATTGTGTATCAGCACAGCCGCTTATCATTTCCAGGACTCCGTTTTCTACTTTGTGAGTGCAGTGGCTGGACAGTCTGTTGAAAGGTCCCCAGCTTTTTTTTCCCTGACCAAGCAGTGACCAGTCTGCTATTGCACCTTAGTTTCTTAAAATTTCACATTTAATGCATCAGTAGTAGCAAGTTCTTACAGATATGTTTTCTTTATTAGGGAAGACATCCCAGATGAAGAAAAGCTTGACAATATTTTGCAAGGAAAGAACACCAACTGTCCCAACACAAATACTCAAAATACATATTGGTATCAGTCTGTTATATGGAAGAGAGATCAAGAAGGCAGAGCAGTGACAATTCATTTTGTAAAGAAACATGATATGCTACAAAATCCAGAGCAATCACTAATCATGGTAGAAGGTAAGAATGAGCTGCAGTTCATAACATGTACCACTGGGTGGCACTATGACCTAATCTATAAACTGTTTAAACCCGTACTAAAGTTCTTGAGAAGCTTAGGTACAGAAAAAAATAAATGTAACATGCTTGTTAAGCAGGTTAATGAAAGTATGTAATTGAATGCATAGCAAGAGGTTTCTTAAAGGCTAGGTTTACAATTCTAACCATATTTCATTTATTTATTTTTTTTAATTACAGGTATTTGTATGGTGTCAATAATTTTATGCAGAGCTTTACACAGTGCACATTCACATCAGTCACTGCCCTCAAGGAGCTTACAATCTATGGTTCCTATTTCACATACATACATTCAGGGCTGATTTTTACAGCAGCCAGTTACCCTTCCAGCATGTCTTTGGAGTGTGGGTGGAAACCGGAATATCCAAAGGAAACCACAGGAAGCACAGAGAGAACATGCAAACTCCTTGTAGATATTGACCTGGCCGGGATTCGAACCAGGGAATCCCAGTGGCGCTATCCACTACGCCACTGTGCTATTTAGGGTCTAACATGAAACATGGTTATAACTTCATCCCCCCCACTGACCTGAATCACAGGGTTCTTCTTGCGGTCAATTTTTTAAAATTTGCATGGCTCTGCCAGCACAGCCACATCATCCATTTACAGTATCTGTGAATGGAGAGGCTACATGCCCTGTCTGCCACTGGAGCAGAGGGACTTGTATTTTTCAAGTTAGTACAAGTTTTGTTTTTTGCAAAATGTGGACTTTGTCCTTAAAGCTCTGGTTTCTCACTAGGGTTTTTTATGAAGTTCAAACTGTATAACACATACATTTACTTACATAACTGTTCTTTTACTTGAAAGGATCTTCCCTTTGGAAGAGCAAGAGATCTGATCATTAATCAGACCATATAGAGCACAAACTATGTTGTAGTCAATTTAGGAAACCGAATTGAATAAATAGTGAGGTGTAAACATTCAGAACAGAACATTGTGCATGTGAAATCAATCTGTGAACTGATGATGTTAGCCTGCAAACAGTGCAGTTGCCCTTAAATTAGAGAATGTATTGTTTTATTTGATGTGTATGAAATATACAGATTCATAACAGCTGCTCACATTTGGGCTGTGTATGTCCGATTCCTATATCTTTGCTTTGGTGATAGGTTAAATACAGTTCAAATTGGTCTCGGACTCCTTTTTTCCAGAAAAAGTTTAAATCTGTTGAGTGAGAAATTAAATGCATCAGGCCTTTTATGTATGCAGGCGACAGCAAGGGCTTAGTTCCACTCATAATGAAACAGATTGGTCTGAGGAACACATAAAGGGGAATTTATCAAAACTGCAGCAACCAGAATCTGGAGCAGTTGCCCATGGCAACCAATCAGCATCTCTCTTCAGTTTGCTCTAGTAAGATTTGAAAATGAGAGCGAGGAGCTGATTGGCTGCAGTGCACATCTGCTCCAGATTTGGTAAAGTCTCCCTATAGAGTGAGCCCGACCTTATCAACTATATGAATGTCACATCCTGACATTGTTTCATGGTTATATGTATTGGGGAGGATATCAGTGGTTCTATGTGTTATTACCTCTTTGATTTGCATTTGATTTGTGAATGTTATGTGAACAGAGTTCTGTTTCATGGTTTTGTGATTAATCTTATATCTTAAAATGTATGTTTTAACAGTAATTATTCTCGTGTAAATGTACTGTAGCAACTGAAAAGATCCAGTCCATTGATGAAGATTTATAAACTTTTTAACTTATTCATCTAAAGCAGATGTCATTTTGCTGCATGTGAGATTGGGTGTGGTCTCTCCCACTTTATTCCCAGCTCTTTGTGGTTGTGCCAGCCTGGTGCATAGTAAAGAGGACTTGCTGCTCCGAACTGGCACTTTACAACATTGCTTTTGTTCTGTCCCTGCTCATGTACATTGCCTCTGTAGTCATTGGAATCCCTTACAAATCCTGTCACTGCCTTTTCTGGAGCCAATGTTAATATTCTGTGTTCACTATTGTGCATAATCCTTCATAGGATTCTTTGAACTTTTTTTTGTCCAGTCTTAAAGCGGTTATGCTCCATGGCATTTGATTATAAATGAAGATGATTCTGAGGTTGCTGTGACTTTTTCTTGTGCTCCTGATATACACAGCATGTCAAGTTGCAAGCTAGTTTGAAGTCAAGCACAGCACAGCCCCGGTAGAATAAAAAGATGGTGCTACTAATTTTGTAGGTCCTGCAATAATTTTGCAAATGTTTGTCAAATAAATAGTAAACCGATAAAAATACACAAATTGATAAAAGTACGCTAAAATCAGTATCAATGCACAAAGAATATACTTTCCGAGTACATCTAAAAGATAGAACGGTATTAAGTTCATAAATAACAAATATTTGTAAATTTTAAATTGCACCTTTTTGTGAAATAGTAAAAAAATTCTGGAAAGCAAAACTGTAAATGAGCAACTTTATGTTAAAATCTTTGTGCGCTGTGTTGTGATAAAATGATACAGGCGTACATTTAATAGCAACACAGCGTATCAAAATGCACAGCGATGCATCACAATGCCACATGGTTAAATTAACCCCTTCGTGACGGGACACGTACACTGTGCGTCCAGCCACAAAGGGACCAAATGACTTACGTGACGAGTTATTTGCTGCTTTAGAGGGCTGTTAACCGCTGAGAATCAGCTTTTAACATTCATTAATGGATGCCCTTACTACAGAGGCATTCATTAATGAAAGGGTTAACCTTTTTCAGACACCCGATACCTTAATATCGGGTGTCTGAGAGTCAAAGCAGAGCGGCCGGCAAAAGCTTTTGCCGGCATTCTGACAGCTCGTATAGATCGAGAGAGATATCTCTCTCAAGCTATACTGGCTTTTTTTTTTCTTTCACGAATAGATACATAATGTATCTATTCGTGAAAGGAGAATGTTTCAGTTTGCTGATCGTTGTTGCAACAATCAGAAAACCTTTAGTGACAGCTGAATCCTGAACTGCTGCAGGATCAGTGTCACTAACTTATTATCGGCTGTTCTGAAGTTTGAAGCAGCCTGATAACCAAAAATGTATTAATTTATCAAGCAGTAACAGTGAGATTAATTCACAATGACTGCTTGATATAATTAAATAAATAAAATAACATTTTTAAGTTTAAAAAAAAGTGAAAAGTGTAAAAAAATATGTGTAAATAAAAATAAGGGACAAATAAATGATTGTATTTATTGCATTTTTTTAGCTGTGCTGGTTTTGTAAAAAAAATACTACAAATCAAAACTGGGAAAAAAGTGTTTTTTCCTCTTTTTTTTTATATTTTATTTGTCCTAAGTGAGGCGTTAGACACACATATGTGATATAAATATATAGCCCTATCTGTCCTCTAAAAAACAATATATAATATGTGTGGGTGTACTTTGTAAGAAAGTATATTACTGACGTGGAAGAATCACACAGCAAAAATGTCAAAAGTGTGTCAGTCATTTACGAACAGAAACTAAAAACAAGCTCAGTCATGAAGGGGTTAATGTTGTTCAAAAAATAAAAACAAGCATTGCGATGCGTTCTGTGGTGTTTGCAGTGCATGGTGTACACCACAATATGGTGCATGTTATCTGTGTGTGGGGGGGTTTGTGGGGTTTTTTATTTTTTACTGGGGGGGGGCTCTGTGAAATATCGGAGACCCCCTGACATTTCCCTTTTGCAATAGGAAAAAGAAAGTGAGGACACAGAGGGTGGAATTTATCAAAACTGTAGTAGATAAAATCTGGTGCAGATGTGCACTGCAGCCTATCAGCTTCTCTCTTTTTTATTTTTAAATCTTAACTGAGCAAACTGAAGAGAGATGCTGACTGTACTATGTGTCTCCAGTTATGAGTGAACAGGAAGTGCTTTACATCACTTCCTGTTCATGCATGACTTTCATGAGCCCGGAATTTTTGTTAATAGCTGATGACAGCCATTAATTTACAGGGGACATTCAGGGAACCCTTCTGGTGTAAGTTCATGGTTGCTAAAGTGGCCATGAGCTTATAGCAGAGGGTAAAAGCCACCGACATATGGCATACTGACGAGGCCAGCTGCAAGCAGTTGTGTTCTGCTGTATGCCATACGTCAATGGCAGCGAAAGGGTTGTAGGCTGCTCCAGGTAAAACGTTCAGTGATATGTAAATTAAATGCTATCCCCTTTTTATTGAACTATGTGAAAGAAAAATAAAATGTTTCATGTAGTCTTCACCCTGCATATAAGCCTGCCTCAAATGAAGACTTCCATTTTTCAATTTCAGCAGCAGCTCCATCTGATCATTCCCTTTGCATGATCAGAAACAGCTTGCTCTTATCCCCTGGGAAGAGCTTTCTAACATTCAGTTTGGGTATGTCTGCAGATCACTGTCATAAAGTAAAATACCAAGTTCAAGCAGTCTAATGTTATGTAAGTCTAATGGCATTTCTTTTTATCCTGACTGTAGTTCTTGTTTAGATCTGTTCACAGATTTCTGGGGGAAACTGGACAGATGGTTATGTATTTTGCTGCTGAGTTTAGCTGTCATTTACACATGCTAGTACATTTTAAACAGCTGAAATAAATGTAATATTCTCTTCCCCGAAGGCAGACATTACTTTCACCTATGTAGTTAAACTAGACCTCTCTTCTATCAAGTGCCAAGACAAATCATTTGCTTCACAATAACTGCAGCCTACATTGACACTGCAGTGCTTGTTAAGCAGGGGTGGGGATGTTAGTGCACCATAATGCATGTTTTAAGAGCCAGTTGCATGTTAGTCTTTAGCTTTGCAACTTCCTCTTCCTGGTCATTGGACTATAAAATAGCATAATCTCACTGCGATGGCCTTGCTTGCTGTTCTCCCTACAGTTCCCAGTGCCTAAAAACATGTTAGATAGGCAGCATTGTACCCTGCACTGCCATCAAGTCAATATGGTAACTGCATCACCTATTGTGGCTGTATGCAAAAGCAGTAAGATATCATGCTGGTTGATATCATTTTCCTCCTTGGTTGGAAAATCATTTTCTGGGAGCAGTTGTTTTAAAAGTGTTTTATTTTATACAGTTGTTTAAAGTGTGAGATAAACTCAAAACTCTTCATTGATCAATGACTACCATGGTTCAACACTCCTACTAATGTGTAAAAGATGTCATGTAAATTGTGAATCAATGTTTAAACGTATTACAAAGAGTAAGTAAAAGATGAGGCACAGATTATCCTTGCCCCTAGAAATACACAAGATAATATAGATTGAGAACTCTACTCTTTGCTTTGGTTTAACAATATATCAAAACACCACAGTGAATAACATAGACTATGTGTACTCGAAGATAACATGCTTGTGTTGCTAAGTATATAGGGCCTGTTCACACCATTGTGTGTAGCATTTGGTGTGTTAGGCTGCACATAAAACCAGACATACCCTACTTTTTTCTATTGCAATGCACCCAACCCACATAGATGGTTCACGAGTGTATTGTGGTGCACAACAACACAAGTGCATTGTGGTCTGCTGCCTACGTGGATTGGGGTGCCATTTAAAATATATGGCATTCCAACACACCGCACTATTTCGTGCTTTACCGTAACATTTGGTAAAATGTACACAGTGTCAGCGGGCCTTTAAAGTGAATATTTGAAAGTATTATCTGCCTGTTATACACGCTTGAAATACTGTCTTTCTTTATTTGCAGGTGGGACTTTCAAGGAGTTCTGCAAACTATCAAGAGTGTTTAACAGTATAATCCCAGTAAAATCTAACCAGGCCCATCTAGAATTAGATCTTTCAGCTCCATTTCTTGTTCAAGGCAGCAGATGGTATTATGGGTATGGTGGCTTATATATACAGAATAATAATATGTATTCCTTTATTTCTACTCCATTGTTTACAATATAATATAATTGGTCTTGGCAAAAAAAAAAACATAGCAGACATAGTGTTACTATGTCTGCTATGGGATCCAGGTTGACAAACTATCACTCTGGAGAGTTGCACAGGCTAGGAGTGAAATGTACATACAAGGAGGTACAGCACAACATATCGGCTTCACAATACAACATTTAGTCACGTTGTTGTGGCAGCACATCTTTCATAGTCCACTAAGCAGGCAGATGATACACTGGAAGCTGCAATAGTGAATAGTGGTGTTACCATCCTTGCGGTACAGCATGGCATAGCTGTGTTTATTAAAAGACTGGTAATCCAAATTTCCCTGTTCGGTTCCTTGTTAATTGTAATGTAATGTGCTAGATCTAGAGGCAAGGCAAAATTTACAATTAATTACAGCACACACATGCATTTAAGTGGAAGAGGCAACTTTTGCATCTATAACCATTGACTGCAGGCATAGTCACCTCATATAAGATTATTTTCATTTTTTACACATTATTGTAATAATTAGGATTATGTTCTAAACCAGGAAAACAAGTTTAAAAAAAATGTGATATCAACAGACAGGTGTCACTTAAAGAAGAACTCTGGGCAAATAAGATCTTAACCCTTTTAGTGAGGCTACCCCCTCTCTCCCCCTGGCGATTATCTACCACCACGGGAGGGAGCTGTGGAGTGTTGGCATGTTGGGAGCTGTAGTCCCAGGAAGCTTTGTCTGCGTCTTGTCTGTTACTGGGCCTCGAAAGGAACAAGAGGGCCTGGTGACCCAGTGAGCAGCCACCTAATATGCCTAATTAGAGAGCGGCCAGCACCTCTGCCTGATTGTGTTCAGCCTAGATTGCCATACCGAGGTGATCCAGGCCTATTTTCAATGGCGGCCTGGAGCTAGTGCTCCAGTGTGGTTCCTATGCTAATCTGGCCCTGCCTGCAGGTATATTGAAGATTTATGGTGAGAAGGAAGACCTATGGACAGGGGTGTCCCTAGCCTTTATACCACCTGAGGAGGGTGGGGAGCAGTGGTGCTGAATGGTGCACAGTCAGTGGTGGAGGGGGCGTGGGGGGTGCTTGTGGACAGTGATACTTCTAAGAGCTGGGCGGCGAGATGTGCAAGTGCTTTGATTCTTCTCGCTCGGCTCTTACTTCAGTGCCTGGAACCTGTGAGGGAGCGTAGCTACGGCTTCCCACCCAATCAGGAATCTAGGCGAAGCCCCATGCTTCATTGCTGCACCTCGGCTGGAAGAGGTAAGGGACAGTTGAAGAGATGGAAATCTGGGATGCCTCAGGTCTGTGTATGTGTGTAGAGAGAGAGAGAGAGATATACTGATACTTTTCCTCAAGTACTTGACGATACCAATTACCGATACCTTTTTTTTTTTTTTGTCTGGACAGTTTTTTTTAAAAACAATGCAGACTAATGATTTTAGGATAAAGATGGAGCACCAGGGCCCAGTCACAGCTGCAAACACTGCACTCCTGGTAGTTCTGCCACTGACTCCAAGTTTCAAATCTCAGCAATGCAGAATAACACCAGCAAAAGAGGACTACACATCCCAGCAATACATTATACAACAATGCAGAATAATATCAAGCTACATACTCTGTGTTGCTCACCAGGGCTGTGCATGGCGGGTAATGAGCTGTGTCCCCCAGCAGGCTGTCTGAGGTCCCCAGCAAGCGCTGGACCTCAGGCAGCCGCTCCTGCTTAAAAATTTCAAGCACCGATATCGGCGCTTCGTATCGGGGCGTTATCACGAATACTCATAAAAATGCCCAGTATCACCGCATCCCTATATATCTATAGATAGATAGATATGCACGATACCAGTTTCTCGGTAACGAGTACCGATATTTTTTTTTATCTATATGTGCCGATAACGAATACCACTACTGGCATCCCGAGGTAGCCTGATTGGCGGGGAAGCCGGTGTCAGGAGGCGGCTCATGCCCAGATGCCGGCTTCCTAAATGGCTGGGAAGCCGGATTCAAGCCAATCAGAGGAAATCTCCTTCTGACCAGAAGTTCTGGTATCAAGGTGAGTATCAGAGGATTTGGGCGATTAAGAGTACTTGCCAAAATAATCAGTATCGTCACTTATACCAGTATTGGTGGTGCATCCTATGTAAGTAAAAACAGAATTTTAGAAATGTCTGAATTTATTAAAAAGTAAAAACTGAAATATCACATGTACTTAAAAGAGCACTATGGGGCGTTTTTCTTTAGGATCACGGGAGGACATATACTAACCTCCTACCGCTACTCAAAGCTCAGTATATAGGGGCTATTGCCAGCGATATACTGAGAGCGCGGTAGCTGGAACAGATCCCTACAATACTGTCGAGATCAGCTTCTTTGTCACAGGTCGGCTCTAACTTTGAGGATGAGTGGAAATCACTCGCCTCATAGTTCTCCTTTTAGTATTCAGACCCTTTACTCAGTACTTTGTTGAGTCACCTTTGGCAGCAATTACAGCCTCGAGTCTGGGTATGACGCGACAAGCTTTGCACCAGGATTGGGGAATTTTCTGCCATTCTTCTTTGCAAATCCTCTCAAGCTCAGTCAGGTTGGAAGGGGACAGTCGGTGGACAGCCATTTTCAGGTCTCTCCAGTGATGTTCAAATAATGGCTCTGGCCCCTCTAGGACATTCACAGAGTTGTTTCTAAACCACTCCTGTGTTGTCTTGGCTGTGTGCTTAGGAACGTTATCATGTTGGAAGGTGTACCTACGGTCCAGTCTGAGGTCCTGAGTGCTGTGGAACAGGTTTTCTTTAAGGATATCACTGCACTTTGCTCCATTCAGCTTTCCCTCAACCCTGAACAGTTTCCCAGTCCCTGCTGCTGAAAAACACCCCACAGCATGATACTCCCACCACCATGCTTCACTGTTGGGATGGCATTGGGCAGGTGATGAACAGTGCCTGGTTTCCTCCAGACATAACATTTAGAATTGAGGCCAAACAGTTCAATCTTGTTTTTATTAGACCAGAGAATCTTGTTCCTAACAGTCGGCATGTCCTTCAGGTACTTTTTTTTTGCAAGCTCCAAGCGTTCTTTTATGTGTTTTGTACTGAGGAGAGTGTAGCCACTCTGCCATAAAGACCAGATCGGTGGAGAGCTGCAGTGACGGCTGTCCTTCTGCAACTTTGTCCCATCTCCACACAGGATTTCTGGAGCTCAGCCAGAGTAACCATCGGATTCTTGGTCACCTCTTACTTTGGCCCTTCTCCCCCAATTGCTCAGTTTGGCTGGGATACCAGCTCTTGGAAGAGTCCTGGTTGTGCCAAACTTCTTCCATTTAGGAATTGTGGATGCCACTGTGCTCTTGGGAATCTTCAGTGCACCAGAATTTTTTTTTTTGGATCCTTCCCCAGATCTGTGTTTTGCAATAATCCTGTCTCTGAGCTCTGCATGCAGTTCCTTTGACCTCATGGCTTTTGCTCTGATACAGTATGCATTGTCAGCTGTGGGGCCTTTTATAGAGAGGTGTGTGCGCCTTTCCAAATTATGTCCAATCAATTTCATTTACCACAGGTGGACTCCAATCACGGTGTAGAAACATCTCCGCAACGATCAAGAGAAATGGCAGTCACCTGAGCTCAATTTCAAGTGTTGTTTCGAAGGGTCTGAATACTTATGCCAATGTGATATTTGATACATTTGCAAACATTTCTAAAATTCTGTTTTCACTTTGTTATTATGGGGTACTGAGTGTAGATGCATAACAAAATTGAAAAGCATGAAGAGGGTCTGAATACTTTCTGAATGCACTGTATGTGTGTGTGTTTGTACTTTTGTGTGCACACCCTAATGGAATAGGTTATGCAGCACGCCTATGCACTCAACCCTTACAGTGCAGGGGTTGATTAATTTTTTTTGAGTTCTTTAAGGTACCAAAACAGGTGGGCCTACTGGCTTCAGTGATGATGATCCAGCCCTGACTAGAGGCATTATAATCCAAATAAAAACGTATGTGCAACCGTTATGAACGCAGCTTTGGATTTTACTTTGCTGTGCATAAAGATTTTTTTTTTTTTTTTGCCCTAAAGGTGTAATTTAGAGAATCGTCTTGCCTTTTTCTTACCTATATCTATTTCTTTTTTATGCTCCAATTTGCATGTACCACATGGAGGAAATTGTCAGCACAAACCAGACGTCGCATGCTCAGCACTATACTAATTTGACAGTCTTTAGCCACCAGCCCAATTAACTCTGCTTTACTTTTTCAGGTGCAGAAGATGTTCAAGCCTTAAGTCTATAGAAGCACTTAGCTCTTTTCCCCATGACAGATTATGGAATGCTAGTGAAATAGCAAAAGGTAAGGTAGGGGGAAGCATATTGAGAAAAGCAATTATTATTCAATGTATGCATAGATTGCCATGTAGTTATACCTTTTCATCTTATTTTTTCAGTGATATATGGTCATTTACATTAGGTTCTAAATGTGTATCTTCTCATTGGTTTCCTTAGTTGTGTTTTATTCTGTATTGTTCAGCAACTGTTCAATAATTATAACCAAGGTAATCTAGTTATGTTTTTTGCACCTATGTGCCATCCAGTATAATCTTAAGCCAAAAATGTGGGCAAAGACAGCAATAGTAAGAGTATATGAGAGATATACACCAATTAGCCATATCATTATGACCAGCCGCCTAATATTAAGCACGTCCCGATTTTACCATTGAAACAGCCCTTACCCATCGAAGCATGGATTCCACTAGACCTCTGAAGGTATGGTGTAGTATTTGGCACCGAGCCATTGGTAGCAGATACTTTTTGTCCTGTAAGTTGGGAGGTGGGGCCTCCATGGATCGAACTTGTTTTTTCAGAACATCCCACAGTTGCTCGATTGGATTGAGATCTGGGGAATTTGGAGGCCAACACCTCAAACATGTTTTGTACCTCAAACCATTCTTGAACCATTTTTGCAGTGACAGGGCACATTATCCTGCTAAAAGAGGCCACTGCAATCAGGGAATACCATTTCCATGAAGGGGTGTACTTAGTCAGCAACAATTTTTAGGTAGGGGTGGTACGTGTCAAAGTAACAAAAGTAACATCCACATGAATTGCAGGACCCGAGGTTTCCCAGCAGGACTTTGCCCACACTGTCTTTGTCGGCTTGCCTTCTTCCCATAGTGCACCCTGGTTCCCCAGGTATGCGATGCACATATGGCGTAGTCCAGTTCTGATGCTCACATGCCCATTGTAGGTGCTGATGGTTGAACGGGTGTGTGTGTGTGTGTGTGTATAGATAGATTACTATAAGTATGTTAAACATTTTTAACACAAGCAAACTTCTATGCGTCATAGGGATTTTGGCCTAATGTATTTAGATTTATCCCACCATTCACTAACTGTAATAATAGTAGCAGCATATTTTCATCTGGCTCACATTTGGATGGGTTGGATGCCTATGTTCTCTGCCTGGTGCTTTTGTTCCATGCCTGCCTCTGTTACTTTGGGACACAGTATTGACGTAGAGGCCGGAGGATGGAACCACAGTTTTTGGTGGGGATACACAGGCAGCTGACACACCTGTAAGTGTGTTGAATGTTTAAATTCTGCTAGTGGCTTTGCTCTGCAAGAGAACAAAGGTTCCAGGAACAGTTAAGCAGAAAAAGTATTCTTTTTCACTGTATCGGAACAAGATCTAGGGCAACAACTGAAATAGTTTATAGTCCACACATGCAAAATTAAAACATGCTGAGAACAAGTACTACTGTGTAGTATAAATACATTCCGAATAAGAAAAATAGTGTGTATTACACCCAGCATACAGAAAAGGAAAGTGCTACTGTGAAGTGTCAATACATGTAGAATAACACTGGGGAACAAATTTTTTCCTATTTTCTGTTGCATGAGATTCTTCAGCTCATACTAAGTATTTTTTTCAACGCTGATTTCAAATATGAAATCGTTTTTTTTTCCTCTACATGCTCTAGTTTTCATGCAATTTGAAACTTGTGATGTTCGCAAAAAAAAAGGACACCCATTGGTATTTACACTAGCGATAGCTTGAGGACTAGGGTTACATCTACCCTAACTTTAGACTAATTAGGCTAATTTTTTTTCCAAACATCAATATTCTTTATCTTTTTTGTTAATTTTGGATTATAGAGATTTATCTGATTTAAGATGAATGACAAGGAGAAGGCAGCATGGCTGACTTTTGTGGCAGTTAGACAAAACTTTCTTGGTAACAAAAAGGCAGATAACTATGAGATTCTCGTTACTAGAATGGCTGTTGGCTGCAACATGAGTGTCGAGCTCCATTTCCTGAATAGTCCCCTTGATCAATTCCCCGAGAACCCTGGGGCTGTTAGTGAGGACAGGGCCGGCCTTAGGCCTTTAGGCGCCCTGTGCGAGAAAGCTTTACAGCGCCCCTCAGTGACCACACCCCTCCGTGGCCACACCCTTTAGTGGTCACAACCCCCAGTAACCACACCCATTTATCACCCATATTTTTGGTAAAATATAAAAAGCGGGGTCACGTCGGGTAAATAAACAGGGAGAACACTTCCATCAAGACCCCATGGCGATGGAACAGCACTATCAAGGGTGATGGGGCAAAAATATGATGGCAGACTACTGCTAGAGCATTAAACGACATTGCCCTGAGAATGTCCACAACCGCCACTGGTACAAGCACAAATTATTGCCTGAATAGGACATATTTGAACTTTGCACCCCATCCTCATCAGTTATTCTGAATCACCTATCATCTTTGTGTCGAAATATATGGTAATTTAAACTAAAAAGCATATTCATATTTGACTATAATGGATAAATGTATCGGATTTGACAAGGTGGCAATACATATTTACTCCACACAAGTGACATTTTTTTTTCCTTTTTTCAAAATGTAATGCATATTGAGATGCACCTACATGTTTTTGTGAATACATAAAGAATATATTTGCAAAGACAGTTGTTTAATCCAAATGTTAAGACTGCGTGACCAAAAATTCCTCAGATAGGCCATGTCATCATGTGAGAGGTGTCAAAATTTTGTGAAAATATTGAATTGCAAAAAATCTAGAGCTTACAGAGAAAAACTAACTTCAGATTTGAATTCAGCACACTCAAATTAGGTAAGAACAAGTGCTGGTATCAATGCAACCAAAATTTAGTTCCCCAGTGTAATGGATGCTCAGGATAACAATCCGCATAGAACAAGAGAAGAGCAGGGAGTTACACTGCTTAAAAGAATATTTGTCCTTAGTGCTGCAGTTTGCAGTGCCATGCAGGGAAGAGATGACACTTGCTATGTAGTTTGATTTCATTCCAGTTTTTTGTTATTATCTTAGCTCTTCATGGTAAGATCTTCTCGACCCACTCTTGACAGCCAGAGCTCTTCTGTGAGCTGCATGTAATGACTTCCTTTTCTGCAGTGAATTTCCTTATACTTTCTGTGGAGAATCCAGTAGGAGTATAGCAGACTTCTGGCAGTTAAAATATTTCTAAATCAGAAAAGTAGATGTGCTGCAATAGATCAGACGTATCCCATTTATTTTCAATTGAATATATTCGAGTTGTCTAAATTACCTGTTGATCCTGCCAGTTTTGGCATACTCCCAGTGCTTTCTGTAATTGGATGATAACGCTATCCACATGGTCCTTTTTGAGGTGGTAGTTTTGTAACCCACCATGCGTTGTCTTGTATTTGGACACTGTAAATTCACAGGGAATGCTTGCAATGTCCTGTAGGCACAGCCCTGATGAGTTTGATTAGAAGAGGAGCCTGAAGCTTGCAATCAGGAATCAGTAATTCACTGTGGCTTCGTCCAGCCCACAGCCCCTACATATGCAGACCAGGGAGACAGTATAAAAGCTCTTAAAAAGATGGATATAGATAGTTTTTTTTTTATTGACAAAATGCACATTGACTAATATTTGAGTGTTTGCCCTGCATTACAAATTGAACAGGAAGAGAGTGTTTACATGTGCTTCAAAGGGCCTGCAAGTAGATAAAGGTTGCATCACACTGCCCAACAGTTTATAAATAAATTTGGTGTAGTGTTTTTATTGAAATATAATAAAGCAATCGACTAAAACATTTTTTTTTTTTTTTTTTGGATTTAGCATTGGGTATTGAACCCTTAATA